CTTACATGTAATCTAATCTAAATTTGGGGTTTTTAAAAAAAATTTATTTTTAATTAATACCTTTTAAAATTTAAAATTTATAAAAAATTTATAACTAAATAACTAAACTCCTCATACTTACATGTAATCTAATCTAAATTTGGGGTTTTTTAAGAAATTTAAATTATAAAAAATATTAATTAAGTATAAAAATTTTAAAAGATATTAATAATAACAAATAATATTCTTAAGATGCAAATAAAAAATTTTGCTATTTCCTTTTTCCTATTCCCTCAGTTTTTCTGGCCTTTTGTTTATTTATTTATTTATTTTTTAATTTTTAACTTTGAAGTTAGTATGGTACAACACCCATGTGCTCTTCTTTTGTTTTATATTGTGGAACTGAAGAAGAGAATAATAAAGAGGAGGGAAAGCGAGGAGACTCCCTTCCAAATCCCCCACTCTTTCTTACCTGTTAGCTCAGGTGTCTAACTTTTCCCCCATTTTTGTAGCAACGAAAGGAAAGCAAGGGAGTCTAATTTCTCTCATTCTCAACTACAGCACTGAAGAGATGACTAAAGAAGAGGACTTTAAGCTCCTCAAGCTACAGGTATTTCTCTTTCTTCTCCTTTAAGCTCTGTTTACGTTACTTTTCTAACCCATGAAAGGGCAATGCTGGTCTTTCCCTGAGATTCTTGTTCTTCATTTTTGTTTATACCTTGCTTCATTCTTTCAAAATTTCTGTCAACAGACTTTTGTTCTCAAAGTGAGCATACATTGTGATGGGTGTAAGCAGAAAGTGAAGAAACTCCTTCAGAGAATTGAAGGTCCTTACTTTCTACCCTTCTTTTTGTCATATAAATAAATGCCCTTTAGTATTTTGGGTAATTGAAGGTCATTACTTTCAACCTTTTTGTCATATAAATAAATGCCTTTTTGTTTTTTAGTCGATAACTAGTGAACTGCTGCTCTGTTTGGTTTCTGTAATAATTTCCCCCCTTAATGTGTTGTTGGGTTGCTTAGAAAATGTAGCAAGAGGAAAGAAATTTAATCACTGCTCTTAGAATTTGGTTTTGGTTAAGATTGAAGGGTGTTTCGTATATACTCGGCAGGATACTTGTTTGAATCTTCATGATTGTGTGTTTTGGATAATAAAATAAAGACATTTCAAGAAACATTTAGTGACCTTTTCTTGTCTGGATGTGTGTGGGAAGTTATTCCCCGTTGATCCTGCCATCGGTATTTTGTGTCTAATATTCTTCCATTTTTTGTGTTATTACAGGTGTTTACCAGGTAAATATAGATGCCGAGCAGCAGAAAGTTACAGTTTCAGGAACTGTAGATTCTGCTACTTTGATCAAGAAATTGGTTAGAGCCGGGAAACATGCTGAGCTTTGGTCCCAAAAGTCTAATCAGAACCAGAACCAGAGCCAAAAACAAAAGAACTGTATCAAAGATGACAAGAACCACAACAACAGAGGTCAGAAGCAAGGAGTAATGAAAGGTCTTGAGGCCTTTAAGAATCAGCAGAAGTTTCCTACTTTCATTTCTGAGGAAGATGATGATTATCTTGATGATGAGGAGGATGATGAAGAAGAAGATGACTTTGATATGCTCAATGCAAATGAATTGGGTCAGTTTGGTCTGCTCAGGCAACACATACTTGATGCAAAGAGAAGTGCTGCCATGGCTGGTGTAGCTTCCAACAATGGTAAAATGAACAACAATCTTGGGAATGGAAATGCTGGGAAAAAGGTAAGCCCAAATCAGAGCGTGGGAATGAAGGTTAATCCAGGTGTAATTGATCAGAAAACCATGGCTGCTCTGAAGATGAACAATGTTCATTTGGGTGGTGGGAACATAAATGCAGCTGAGGGCAAGATGGGGAATGACGTTGGTTCCATGATGGGTCTTGCTGGTTTCCATGGAAATGGTATTAATGTTCCTAATGCTGCTGCTCTGGGGGCCAATCCCAACGGTGTTGGAGGGTATCAAGTTCAATCCGGTAATGGTTACCAGGGGTCCTCTGCGGCAGGTATCCCCAGTGGTGGATATGCCACTGGTCACTATCCATCATCCATGCTCCCGAACATTAATGGCTACAACAATCCGGCAGCATCAATGATGATGAACATGCAGAACAGGCATGTCCTGCAGCAGCAACCTCAGATGATGTATCATCGATCCGCTCTAATTCCTCCAAGTACTGGCTATTATTACAACTATTACAACCCTCCCCAATTCTCCTATCCTGGACAACCCAACTACAATGATGAGCATTCAGCAGCAACACACATGTTCAGTGATGAGAACACAACCGGCTGTTCAATAATGTAATGAATAAAGAAAATCATGTAGAGGGGAAAGCCTGAAGTTTGACTTTTGGAATTTCTTTCTGTGTATCAATATTACAATATTCTGCAGTGTTCGTGTTGGGGATGGATGAATATGTAATAATAAACGTCTTAGTGAATCTTATGTGTAATGTATAATTGTTAAGATGATTTTTTTTTTTTCCCTCTATTTTGTATTTCATTTCACTCCCAAGGTAAGGTTTATCTGCTTGTTATCCTATGTTCACGTGATGGGAATGGTGACAATGTGAATCACAAAAGACAAGCAGAATAATCAAGGTATTGAGATCAACAGTGATTACTAAAATAATCTTTCTAAAATGTATGGTTTTGAGGAGAGCAAGAAAGCATGGTCGATGTGGGGTTAATTGTTTATTATAATCAAGAACCAGACAAGGTGACATTGGTTAACGCATGTGTGCAGACTGCACTCTGCAGACACATGATGAGACTTGTTTGGTTTAAAAAGTTGGGTTAACTTGGCAATGGTTCACATTACGTTAGCTGATACGGATATCACCACACATCATATTAGGAGGATGTCTGGCAAAGCAAGTACACTTCTTAAAAGTAAATTTTATAAAATTTTATATTAAAAAATTAAAAAATTAATTTTTAAAATAATTTTTAAGTAAAGTTTTGAGATATGTAGTTAAAAGGCTATTTTAAAAGTATTTTTTTAATTCTTCTTTAACAATATTTTAAACCTTATCAAATTTACTTAAAAGGCTATTTTAAAAGTATTTTTTTAATTCTTCTTTAACAATATTTTAAATTTATAAAGTACGTGTTTTTTTTTTTAAGTTTTGTTAAACGCCTTCCAAATTTGCTTGGTTTTAATTTACATTTTATAATTTTATAAATAATTAATTATGATACTTAAAAATATTAATTGATTAATTTTAATATACTAAATAATAAAATTAAATGGTTTTTAATACTTAAATTCAATGCCAAAAAATCTACTATGTTCGGGAGATATCACGTGGGATGTCACTAAACCCTCAACCTAGCGCCTCTTCCCCATCATTTTACTGCAGTTTGTCTGCCTTCATCCTTTTCCTTAACTGTGAAATATTCACCTAAAAATGTAAGCATATATTATCGTATCAAGTAATAAAGAGTGAGTAAAGTATCATTTTCACGAGAACTAATGATGAAAAATTCTACTGAGTACTTAAATTATGTTAGTGCTAATTTTATTTAATTATCAAAAACTCTTGATGTAAAAGCGAATTTCTTAAACTAAACTAAAAAAAATAACTAAGTCTTAAAGATGATGGTTTAACCTTTATAAAAAGTTTAGGGTTATGTCTGCTCACCTACACAATCCATTTGCATTCAATTCACCCAAATCTTGATCATTCTACTCTCTTGAATCATGTCTAAGAATCGTTGAGTTTTTACCGATCCTCTTTCAAGTGATAGTAAATTATCCCAACCCACCTACTTATATATTTCTATATGTAGTGCAATGAACTGAAACTAAAATTCAAGTGCAATGATTCTTCTCTCAAGAACACATCAATTCTAAGAGTATATTTCTATCTCCTCAAATTAATGGCATTCACTTGGTGGTCTCATTTAACTATTCCCTCTTAGTTTAAGTTAAACATCCATACATCTTGTTAATTGGCCAATTCAACAAGAAAACAATCTACAAATGAAATACTAATTCAAAATGAAGCAAAATAGATTAGGCTTTGACTTCTCAGAATAAAAACATAATGATTCAGATTTCAACATAACTCCAAGTAGAAAATTACTCCATAATCAAAGATAGAAAACAAAAAAATTGTACTGGAATTCATTAAAACTAAAACAGAAAAGTAGAACTTAAACACAGGTTTTCTATGGGTACAAGGAAAGAAATTACTAATTTGAAGTTGGAAGAAGTCTGCCCATTGAATGTTGCTTATGAGAAAGATAAAAAAAAATGTAGATTTTTTCTCCCTCCTCTTTTTGTTGACTGTTCTGCTCTCCTTTTTCAGCATCCAAAAGACAGTTTTCCTTTGACAGTTTCTTCCCCCTTTTGCTCCATTTCCTTCTGCCTATTTTCACATTAAAAACTGCCCACTAACTCCAAAACTGCCTTGTTATCTTTTATGCCATGAAATTTGATGATGTGGCTCTTAATATTTGAAGTTGGTTTGAGTTAAAGCAATCTCGGACTAGAATCTTCAACCCTTCAAATTTTCAATTTGGTTACTAGAGCCTCCAACTTTTCATAAATTACTATTCTAGCCCTCACCTAAGAGAAAACAACTAAATTATGCAAAATCACAAAGAATCTCACATAGATAGTATAGTGATCTTACATTTAAGGCTAGATTGACCTATAAAACTGCATACAAATTAGTCTCATCAAATTCCAAAAAATTGCCATTCCTTGCTGCCTAGGAGAATCTTTCTTCAACAAAGCATTGTGTGATTTGGGTGCAAGTGTGAATTTGATGCCTTTCAGTGTGTATAAAAAACTTGGTTTAGGGAGGTAAAACCAACCACAGTGCCACTTCAACTTGTTGATAGATCAATTAAACATCCGAGGGGAATCATTGAAGATGTGTTGGTAAAAGTCGACAAGTTTATCTTTCCAGTAGATTTCGTTGTTCTTAACATGGAAGAAGATGAAGAAGTTCCTCTCATTCTTGGAAGGCCTTTTCTAGCTACGAGGAGGACTCTCATTGATGTTCAAAAAGGAGAGTTAGTTCTAAGAATCCAAGATGAGCAGATTGTGTTTAATATTTTCAAAGCTATGGACTATCCAAATGAGGTGGATTGTTGTATGAAGATTAGTATAGTGGATAGGGAGGTACATGAGACTTTTGATAAACATTGCATCAAAGATCCATTGGAGGCTTGTTGAGTTCAAGAGTATGATGAGGAAACTTGGGGAGCACATGATTTTGAAAAATTTTTAAAAGCCACAGTTGAAGCATCTTTTGTTTCCTCAGTTCATAAAAATCTACCAGTTGAAATTGCCCCATCAATGGTGCAGCCACCAAACCTTGAGTTGAAGCAACTTCCTTCTCACTTGAAATATGCATTTTTGAATGAAAATGCAACTTTTCTAGTAATCATATATGCTGAATTATCAACACTCGAAGAAGAAAAATTACTTAGAGTTTTGAGGGAGCATAAAACTACCATAAGCTGGACAATTGCTGATATAAAGGGGATCAATCCTTCTTTTTGCATGCATAGGATTCTTATGGAGGAAAATTTCAAACCGATTGTGGAAGCTCAAAGATTCAATCCTGTCATGAAGGAGGTTGTGAAGAATGAAGTACTCAAATGGCTTAATGCTGGCGTTATCTATCTAATTTCAAATAGTGCTTGGGTGAGTCCTGTACAGGTTGTTCTTAACAAAAAGAAGGGTGATAATTGTTGCAAATGAAGACAATGAGTTGATCTCTACAAGAATTGTGATTGGGTAGAGAGTCTGCATTGACTATAGAAAGCCGAACAAGGCAATCAGGAAGGATCATTTTCCTATTCCTTTTATTGATCATACGCTTGATAAGTTGGCTAGACAAACATTTTATTGTTTTCTTGATGGGTTTTCAGGGTACACTCAAAACATGATAGCTCCAGAGGACCAAGAGAAGACTACATTCACTTGTTTGTATGCCACATTTGCTTTCAGAAGGATGCCATTTGGACTTTGCAATGCTCCTGCAACTTTTCAGAGGTGCATGATGGCAATTTTTTCTAACATGATTGAAAAGTTCATTGAGGTATTTATCGATGATTTTTCTATTTTTGGTTCTTCATTTGATGTTTGCTTGAATAACCTAGCATTGGTTTGGAAAGGTGTGAGCAACCTAATCTTGTTTTAAATCGGGAAAAGTGTCATTTTATGGTACAAGAGGGCATTGTTCTTGGGCACAAGGTTTCGAAAGTAGGGATTGAAGTTGACAAGGCTAAGATCAGTGTAATTGAGAAGCTACCACCACCAAAGAATGTCAAGGGAGTTCGAAGTTTTCTTGGACATGCTGGCTTTTGTAGGAGATTCATCAAAATTTTTTCACATATTACAAAGCCACTTTGCAACTTGATAGAAAAGAATGTAGTTTTTTTATTTCAATGAAGAATGTCTTCAAGCATTTAATTTTTTGAAGGAAAAATTAGTGACTGCACCTATCATTGTTGCACCA